TTCCTTTCCTTCCTTTCCCTTCCCTCCTTCCTCCCCTCTCTCCCTCCTTCCACCCTTCCCTTCCCTTCCCTTCCCTTCCCTCCTTCCCTCTCCCTCTCTCCCTCCCCTGCTCTTCTTCTCTCTCTTTTTCTCTCTCTCGCTCTTCCTCTCTTCTCTCTCTCTTTCTCTTTATTAATTTTATCTTTTGATTTAGCTTTATCTTCGTTTAATACATCCCCGTTTTTATGCTAAAGTTTTGTTGGTGTTGGTAAATAGGCATAATGCACATTCAGAAATCCTCAAAAAAAGTAATAGTTAAATGACTGTGATGACTAAGCTTCTCGAATGTATACACTTTTTTTCTATTGTCCAAATCGTGTCGTACAAAGACTGCATTACAAGTTACAAATATCATCATTGATTTTTTTTCCATATCAGTTTATCATCTTGGTGTGTGTGTATATATATATATATATATATATATATATATATATATATATATATATATATATATATATATATATATTTTTTTTTTTAGTTTGTTTTTGTTTATATATATTATATACTCAATCCCTTTATTTTTTAATATAACCCTCTTTTTCTTCACCCCCCCCAGGTCTCCGGAGGTCACGTGAACCCAGCCGTGACCGTGGCTCTGGCAGTGACCCGCCGCGTGTCCCCCCTGCGCGCTGCCATGTTCGTTTTGGCACAGTTGGGAGGTGGCATTGCCGGTGCTGCGCTTCTGTTCGGGTGAGTAGAGAATGGCACTCTCGTCTGTGTGGGGGGAGGGGGGAGGGGGGAGGATTGAGAGGGAGATTGTGTGTGTGTGTGTGTGTGTGTGTGTGTGTGTGTGTGTGTGTGTGTGTGTGAGTATGTATATATGTATGTATGTATAGTCTCTTCCTGTCTCTGTCTTTCTATTTCTCCTCACTCTCTCTCTCTTTCTCCTTCCCTCCCTCCCTTCCTCCCTCCCTCCCTCCCTCCCGCTGTTCTCTCCCACCCTTCATTCATTAATAATCTGTCCATAAATCACTGCAAAACTCCTCGCCCAAATCATTGTAAACCCTTAGCCAGTCACGACTAGACGAGAGTCGTCTCATGCCCAGAGGCCCCTCCTTCCCTCCCCCCCTCCCTCCCTCCCTCCCTCCCTCCCTCCCCCTTCCCTCCCTCTTTTGCCCGGCTTTGCCCTCATGATGCGCGGGCTTTTCTCTCTCTTGTGTTTTTTCTCTCTCTTTCTCCACCCTCTCTGTCTTCGAATATCTTGTTCGCTCTTTTTCCCTTTTTTTTCTCTTGCGTTGTCTTTTCACCGTCTCGTCTTTCCCCTTCTCTTCCCTCTACTCTCTTCCCTTCCCCTCCTGTCACCTCCCTCTCTCCCCTTTTCCTCCTCTTCCTCTTCCTTTCCTCCTTTCACCTTCTCCCTCCATCCCCCTTCCTCTCATGTCCTCCCCTCTTCCCTCTCCCCTCCCCCCTCTCCTCTCTTCTTTTCTCTTCTCCCTTCTCCCCTCCTCTCTAACCCCCATCCCCCTCTCTCTCCCATCCCCCCTCTCTCTCCTACTAGACAATACCCCACCCCCCCTTCTACCCTTTGACCTGACCCCTCGGCGCTCCATCTCGTAGAATCGCGGGTGAAAGTATGGAGCAGATGAGACGGTGGGCGTGAGGGTGAAAGAGTGAAAGGGTGAACGGAATGAAGAAGAGCAGGGGAGGGAGGAAGGAAGGGAAGGGAAGGGAAGGGAAAGGGAAAGGTGGAAGGAGGGAAGGGAAGGGTGGAAGGAGGGAGGGAAGGGAAAGGTGGAATGAAGAAGAGCAGGGGAGGGAGAGAGGGAGGGAAGGGAAGGGAAAGGTGGAAGGAGGGAAGGGAAGGGAAGGGTGGAAAGAGGAAGAGAGGGGGGAGGAAGGAGGGAAGGGAAGGGAAGGGTGGAAGGAGGAGAGGGAAGGGAAGGGTGGAAGGAGGAAGAGAGGGGGGAGGAAGGAGGGAAGGGAAGGGAAGGGTGGAAGGAGGAGAGGGAGAAAGGAAATGACAGGTTAGAAAAGAGAGAGGGAGAGGATGAGAAGAATGGATAAAGGGAGATACAGGGCAAGGGAGACTGGAGTAAAAACAGCTTAGGAGGAGAGAGTGTAAATAGGAAAGGAAAAAGTGAGAAAGGGGGGATAGGTAAGGGAGAAGAAAGTGAACGATGAAGAGAAAAGACACGTTCAGTATTTCAAGACAGACACACAGAAGGGAGAGGTAAACTTAGGGGAGAAAACAGACACCCAAACTTCCAAACGCAAGAATGGACCAAGAGAGAAAGGGAAGAACTTGGGGTCAAACGAGGTCATCGTTGTTACTTTGAACACCCCCGTCCCCCCCATCTCCCCTCTCCCTCTATCTTCAAAATCCTATGCGTCTCCCTTCTCCCAAATCTCCCTTTTCTTTCACCCTCGCATCTCTCCTCATTTCCTTCTCCCTCTTTCCCGTTCTCCATTATCCCTTTCTCCCCCTCCCCCATTTTCCCTTCTTCCCCTCCCCCATTCTCCCTTCTTCCCCTCTCCCATTCTCCCTCCTCCTCCTCCTCCTCCTCCTCCTCCTCTCCTCCCCCATTCTCCATTCTCCCTCCTCCCCCTCCCCCATTCTCCCCTCCTCCCTTCTCCCCCATTCTCCCTCCTCCCCCTCCCCCATTCTCCCTCCTCCCCTTCCCCCCATTCTCCCCTCCTCCCTTCTCCCCCATTCACCTCCCTCCCTTCTTCCCCATTCTCCCTCCTCCCCCTCCCCCCCATTCTCCCCTCCTCCCTTCTCCCCCATTCTCCCTCCTCCCCCTCCCCCCCATTCTCTCCTCCTCCCTTCTCCCCCATTCTCCCTCCTCCCCCTCCCCCATTCTCCCTCCTCCCCCTCCCCCATTCTCCCTCCTCCCCCTCCCCCATTCTCCCTCCTCCTCCTCCCCCATTCTCCCCTCCTCCCCTCTGCCCTCTCTCCTCATCTCCCTCCCCCATTCTCTCTCCTCCCCCTCCCCCATTCTCCCTCCTCCCCCTCCCCCTCCCCCATTCACCTCCCTCCCTTCTCCCCCATTCTCCCTCCTCCCCTCTCTCCTCATCTCCCTCCCCCATTCTCTCTCCTCCCCCTCCCCCATTCTCCCTCCTCCCCCTCCCCCTCCCCCATTCACCTCCCTCCCTTCTCCCCCATTCTCTCTCCTCCCCTCTCTCCTCATCTCCCTCCTCGCTTCTCCCTCCTTCTATATTTTAGTAGGCTAGTTCCCTCCCTTCACCTAATGTGGTTCGTCTCCCCAAAGCGATGGGCGGTTTTCGTGAGCGTTCTGTGGCGGTTATGTAATCAAATGTTCCTTATCAATTATTCATTATTATTTTCTTTCTTTTTCCTGCGTAATCTTGGGCCCGTTTTAAGAAAGTGAAGAGAGAGAGAGAGAGAGAGAGAGCGTCTAAGTTAAGGGATTTCTCTCTCTCTCTCTCTCTCTCTCTCTCTCTCTCTCTCTCTCTCTCTCTCTACATATATATATATATATATATATATATATATATATATATATATATATATATATATATATATATATATATATTCTTTTTTTTTTTTTTTTTTTTTATTACATCTTAGTCTATATCGATTATAGTGTTTATAGGTAAGTAGATAAATACGAGATAGATAGGCCGATAGACTGATAGACGAACCCGGATAGAACTGAATGAATGATAAATGGACGGGAAAAGAGTTAGATAGGCCTACGAATACGCGTGCAAGTAAATAATGCGATAAATAGGAATAGAGAGAGAATGGGGGGTAAATAGCCTCGATAAAAAGCAATGTGATTATGTCTCTTATAGAAAGTGTTGCTTCACCTACGTCGCCGTTGTCTTCAAGAAACCGTTTTTTTCAAATATGGCTATCCTTTTACGACAGCGAGATATTATCAAATGCTGATTCACATGCACACGCGTAGATAGATAGATGGACAGACAGACAGACGTAAAACAGGTAAGTAGGTAACATAGAGAAATATATTGATAGAGAGGAGGATAGATAAATGGATTGATAGATAGACAGGTAAGATAGATATAGATAGACAGGTAGATTGATAGAGAGAGAGAGAGTGAGCGAGTGAGTGAGTGAGTGAGTGAGTGAGAGTTGGATAGTTACATAGACTGGTAAGTTGGTATATATAGATAAATAAATAGACAGAAGCTGAGAGTGAGAGTGAGTGAGAGTAAGAATAAGAATAAGAATAAGAATAAGAGTAAGAATGAGAGCAAGAAACAAAACAAAAAGAAATATAAATTCACTCTTGTGATATATTCCGCTTATCGCCTCGCAACGGGATCTTAAAATTAAACGAAATTTTACCACCTTCATCTCCGCAATAGTGTATCGCGTACTGTCTGAGAACCAGTAAATAACACACAGCTGTACTTAATTGCAGTGTTATTTAATTATATTGTGGCGTTGTTGAGAGCTGGGTGTTGTTTGATGGTACAGGATAATCCTTATTAGACAAATATTAGATGCTGTAAAGAGACGAAACAGCTGCTGAGATGGTGAACGGGTGATGGAAGGGGGGAAGGGGGGAAAGGGGGGAGGTCGTAAACAGCTGTTCTTGAGATAAGTGGTGAGTTTTTTTTTTTTGGGGGGGAGGGGTGAGAAAAGGGGATAGGGAGAGGAGGAGAGAGAGAGAGGGGATGTTAGGGTGGAGGGAGAAGAAAAAAGGGGGGAAGAGTAAGGAAAAAAGGAAAGTAAAAGAGATAGTGAAGAGAGGAGGATGAGAGTAAGAACGCGAATGATGGCGAGAGGGGGGGAGAGAGAGAGAGAGAGAGAGAGAGAGAGAGAGAGAGAGAGAGAGAGAGAGAGAGAGAGAGAGAGAGAGAGAGAGAGAGAGAGTTAAATAGAGAGTTAGAGAGAGAGATTACGTCATCGCTATTATGACTGTTCCCCTTTTCTCTCGCACATTATCCCTCAGTCTTGAGAAAATGGCGGTCGGCACGAAATGATTCTGACCTTGTTCGTTTCCCTCCATTTTCTTTTTTTTCACTGCGTTTATTCTGTTTTTCTTTGTCCTTTTTTCTTTTCCCTCTTTCTTTTCTTTTCTCCTTTCCATTTCTCTCTCTCTCTCTATCTCTCTCTATCTCTCTCTCTCTCTCTCTCTCTCTCTCTCTCTCTCTCTCTCTCTCTCTCTCTCTCTCTCTCTCTCTCTCTCTCTCTCTCTCTATTCTCTTTCTCTCATTCTCTCTCTCTTTCTTTCTCCTCGACTTTGTCTTCTTTTTCTTTCTTTCTTCTTCTTCCTTTTTATCTTTCCTCTCCCTCCTCCTCGCGCGCAATGGAATGGCCCAATGACATTTCATTTTTTTTATCAACTGAAGTCGACCTCCAAAACCTAATCTTAATATCCGTTATGAAGGGTGCCAGTTCTGTGAAATATATTAGATAATCTTTTTTTTCTCTCCACAATAGAGTCAGTGACATCGCGTGTGCAAATCTACAGCCACGGGACTTTAGAGGAAAGACTTTGCTCGGTCTCTCTCTGGAGGAAATTTTTTTTTTTTTTGGCGGGAACGCGAGCGAGCCTGATGCGTTTTTGTTTTCTATAGGAGCGGGAGATTTTGTTGTGGTTGTTGGTGGTTGTTGGTGGAGGTGGTGTTATTTTTTTGTTGGTGTTCTTTTATTTCTGATTTCTCCCCGCTTCGTTTTCCTTTTTTTTCTTTTTTTTCTATTTGTTTTCTCCTTCTCCTCCTTCTTCCTCTTCTTCTTTTTCTTCTTCGTCTTCTGTTTCT